AATGACTGACAAATTGTTAACGCAGTCAGAGTCGCCAAATTTTTGTGTAGTTTAAACTGGTTCGCTTAAGCAGAACCAGCCTATAATGCCTATTGTTTCGTTCTTATTACATTTCGACCCGGGCGGTTTCCTTTCCCAAAGCTTCGAAAATTTATATTAAATATCTTTTGTGCATTATGAACAAAACAAAAATTAAACTGTCCCATTCATATTACCTCTGTGAGTTAGAATTAGTATCAAGAAGATTATTCATGACTGGGACAGCAATCAGATACAATTTCGATGACCCGAATCTTAAAAGTACAGATTAGCAAGTCCTATTCCCGCGCTAGAAAACGGCGGGAAAAGGTTATTCCATTGTAAAAAGTGTAGGGGAAAGGCAAATTTGAAAATTTAAAAATCTTGTAAAAATAGAATAATACAACAATATTACTCAATTGTTTCTATTAAAATAGTTTAAGTCGAACAATAGTGTAAGAGTTATGCATATATATAGTCTAAATCGCCCACCTAAAGGACATCAAGATATTGTTGAAACTACATGTACCTTTGGTAATGGACCAACCCGTTTGCAACCTCTGTCTCAAATTGTCATCGTGCGTAGTATTGGTAAAATCTATTGCGGAAAGTTGATGATCACGATGGATCCACCAAAGAAAACAAAGTTTCAGGTAATTATTTCAGTTCTTTGTTATCTTGATGAAAATCAGAATCTTTGATAGACGATAGTTGGACCTACTGGCGGAGTTATAAAAGGCGTATACCTCTTTCAATATAGTCGCCATTTTGGTAGCATCCCCAAGTAGTATGAGTTGAAGTTGAATTAGTTAATACACCTTTTTCTTAGGGCAATACAACATTGACAGTGATTTTTTTTTTAGATGGAAGAATATCTAATGTACAAGCCAAGGTGACTCTAGTAATCAATGTTTTTTTCTTTCTTCACAGTGACCTATTTTTAGAATTTCACACTTCTCTCCCATTCAGTGTTTTCCCCAGAAAATTTTTAATGCATGGGGGGAATTTCGTTGAATCAACAGCGCGTCACATCGCGCGGCATGGCACACATCAGTTGAGATACTATATTTAACATAATTTACAAAATTAATGCATTTTTCATATAAATTGTTTTAAAATTACATGTAAAATGTGCAAGTAAAAATTGATTAATGTGTTGTTAATAACTTTTAAAGAAAAATGAATAAAAATTATCATATAGCCCACAATTTTTCCTCATATTTTTTTTCCTTCTGGCCCACTGTAGAACTTTAATTGTTTGTTTGTTTTGTTATGTGTTGTATTACGCATTCTGTCTAGGTCTACTTGTAAACTGTAGTTCATTTTCTTGATGTCCCTACTTTTACAGTCATCATTCAAACAAAAGTGTGCACATTGTCAACCACCCGTGACAACTTAAAAAAATATTATGACAACACATTGTAAAATGCATTTACATTGGTGTCTGTTGTTTTTTGTTTTTTTTGTTTTTTTTTCTTGCAGAAAAAATTTTGATCTGCAGAATTATCAATATGTCGTATATAGCACGTGCGCTACGTCGAAGTGTTTACCGAAAGCTCACAGAGTAAATAAACAATTCTGTTATCATTAATTTCAGCTTGCCTTTTATGCTGAATGATGGCTAAATAATTATGTGTTTGACTAATGAATCTTTGCAGCTTGTGTGCTAATGTCGACACATTTATGCTATTTTTAGAATGACCTGTATAGGTTGGAAACACCCACATGTGCATTTACAAGTGTATTACTTTGACCGTGACGTGTGCACTATCCGACAGCAGTTAATTATTTTTTCCTTGTAATAAACATTTTTATCAAAAATGAAAGCTGAACAGTACCAATAAATTGCAGTAAGCATGCTAAGCATAAATTGACAGCTATAGCATCATACCCCGTGCCGTGATACGCACTCGAATTCACGACAGGTGTGCAACTTGTACATGCGAGGATTTGTTTATGAATTTTATAACTGATAACATTTTACATAAATTATCTTACTAAGTATGGTACTCTATTAATGATTTATGCATAGCGGCAAGCATAGCGGCAAAATGTGATGCATGGCGGGGGATCGTGAATGCATGGCGGTCCCGCCATGCAAAAATGGCCTGGGGAAAACACTGCCATTATTTAGGATAATAATGGGCTTAAAATCATCAAATTGTCAGTTGATGCATCTTGAGTCAATGGAGTGTGTCAATTAAAAGTAGGTTATACTGACCTGCTTTTGGAATTTTACAGTTTAGGATACTAAGATGCTTATAATCATCATACTCTGTTAATTCCTTGGATTGTTTTAACCAAAAATAGGTCAACATGACCTATTCTTGAAATTTCATGGCTTTATCTAAATATTTCAGATAATAAGAGGCATAGAATCACTTTATCAGTTGATGCATCTTAACTTCTCAGTGTGATAACTTAAATCACAGTGACATACGTTTGGAATTTCAAAACTTTAATTCTTTAGGATAAAAAGCAGTCAGGGACATAATGCAAATAAGTTAATTAATTTAAGAAGTAACTCAAATGAGTTATTCTTTTTGTCACTATGAGTTACCTCTCTTTGCTTTTGTCCTTCATTATTTACTTTTTTCCCATCATTATTAACTCAAAATCAATGACCCAAGAAGATATAAAAGTAACTTATTTAAGTTATTATTCAAAAATTTCCTCGTGTGTGTAAAATAACTTATTTAAGTTATTTTTAAAATAACCTGTTTGCATTATGCCCCTGACTGATAAGAAGCTTAGAATGGAAGTGACAAGGTTGTACAATTCATTTGAAGAGTGATTCTATGCCCTTGGGCCTCTTGTTTTTAAAATCATAATCCCCAGAGATAGGATGAGGCCACAATAGAAGATCATATAGTTTAACATAGGAATGTAGGAAAAAAAAAATTAAAATCTTCTTCTCCAGAACAGAAAAGGTATGAAAAGTCATACTGATATGATGCAAGCATCGTCAAGTTATGTAAATTCAATTCTGTTCAAATCATGACTTCGGGATAGGGTGGGGCCACAATGAGTGATTAATGGTTTCACGTGCTAGGAATAATAGGGGAAAAAAAATTCAAAATCTTCTTCTCAACATTTGCAAGACATAATTATAGGTAGTCATATTAATATGGAAGCACCTTCAGGTAGTGTAAATTCAAACGTTTTTCAAATTATGATTTTCGGGGGGTTGGGCAACAATAAGACTCAGTTTTCGCACAAAAGATCAATACATGTAATCATGTTTAGATCTATCTGAAAGAACTGATTTGTCCAATTACTCACATTTAAAGGACAATCTGAAAATTATTGCATCTGCTATATTAAACGTATCAAAAGTATATTTCCTCATTAAAATTATTCCTATCAAAATTTGTTTATTTGCCTTACCTTAATTGTAACGAAATATTAGAAGATATCAATGCTGCAGACTTACTAAATCATATAATTTTAACAGTCATTACAAAGGAATCATACAGTATATTAAATTTTATATCATTGTTTACTTCATATAACTTTGACTGCATATATATACCTTTGTATAGAAGATAACATTATCATGTTACTGTTTTAAAAGGACCAGATACAGTCTGCAACTGCACAGAAGATTTACATCCTGGAAGACATCGAAATTAGAAAATACAAAGATGGAGGGATCTATGGCAAGGCAAGCATTTTGTGTGCCAAGACCTACTTTGGATGTGTGCATGACTTAATCGTAACAAATGAGGCCATCTTCCCAAAGATAAGGGCAGACAGCTGCTACTTAGTAGTTGACTACCTCTTGCTTCAGAATGGACTGCTGAAAATGACAGAGGCTACTAAAGTATGTTCTACCTGCTATATAAAATCAATAACGATAATATACATGATGCTCACAAATTATTTCAAATGAAAATTCAAGAATATGAAATGCCAATTTTTTATGATGAAAATAATGAACATCTGTATAATTTCAAATAATAATATTTTTTATGAATGTACTAAGTGAAAAAAATTATTAATAGCTAATGGACACAGCCAGGCCCACAATTAACCAATCGGTTGTCACCCAGTGGAAAAATCCACAGCTGGTTAAGGTAGCAGAACTGACAGCCCTGAAAAAGGGCGACAGGGTGTCAATTAAAGGAACTGTGACGAAGGTTTGTATTTAAACTGCATCATACATGAAAGAGTTGTGTGAAAACACCTTCCCCATCCTAACAAAATGACAAAAAAATTGTTACATATATGTTAATGTACTGATTAGAAGTTGAGAATTTATTGGTACACATGGACATACAGAGGTTGGATTTTAATAGAATGTAAACTTAGTAAAACAGAAAAAGAATTTCACATCTGTACACTTAGAGAAACCTATAACCACTAACTAATATGTGACCTCTAAGAAATCTCATTGGCTCCTCAGTGCAGTTGATTTGGTAAAACTGATAAGTCTGGGAGGAGGAATCCTATATCTTTTTACACATAAATTTGTGAAAGATCTAACATTGAAGAGACTGCAATCACTTTGCCATGCACCAAGTCAACATAAGCAGTCAGTCACATCTGTCAGCTTACTGGTTATCATGTGTTGACTGTAAACTTTATAAATATTTCATCTTCTTGAATCTTCCCTTGAACCGTTATGCCAAATCATAATAGAAATGGAAAACACAGTGTGATAAATAGAATATTCTTAGTGCATTTAACCACTTCATGCAAATATTTTTATGCACAGATATAAAATTATAAATATAGAAAATAATATGTCTTTTCTTTCCTCATTTACAGGGATTAACAATTATATTGGCAATGCAATATTGCACACACAAAAAATACATAACCCTCTTATGCTTGTTATGTTATTACATTTCTAAACTAAAATCCTTCAATTAAAATAGGTTCAACATGTTTTCTTGCAACTTCTGAAATGACTAACTGTAACCAAATATTTGTAACTCTGACGCGTCTTGTCAGGTATGTGACCAACTGTTTACATCATAAAAGTCTTGTATTCCTGGATATACAGTTTCATGGGGTGTAGAAATTGAGTGCTCCTTGCCTCCGATTTCCACGCCCCATGAAACTACATCTAATACAACTTGACATTTAAGTTTTAATTTGTAGTCCTTTACATACTAAGAAAAACAAAGCATGTGCTTTAATATTGATTAATAAAAATATTGAAGAAAATTCTTGCAAAATCTTAAAGATACTGTGCTTGAACTTTATGCCTCCCACTGAAAAAAGGGGCATATTGGTTTGCATCTGTCAGTATGTCATTACACCAAGAGCAGACATCAACTTGGGACAGTAGTACCCTCAAAAGAAGTAGCTATGATGAGGTCACAAAGTCAAGGTTCAAAATACATTGAACATAAAAAGATATTGTTTGCTTAAAATCTTGAGAACTTATCAAAGGTGGTACACTGGTAACCCTTAAGGAGTAGATGTGGTTGCAAAATCAAGGGGTCTGCCCTGTTTATTTACCAAAATCTTCGTAACCACTTGGGGATAGTTATCTTATCAGCTGTGTGCATTCAAGCAAGAAGTAGTATCCTGTGGTCCGGTACACTTGACACCCTGAATAAATACCATCTCATGCATTAAATAAAAGATAAGTAACATGCACTGAATAAAAAAAGAAGTTAGTCAGCTTTCATTTTTTGCTTTGAAAAACAAAAAAGGTACGACACAGGTGAAACAAAAATGGCACTGAAGAAAAGGGCATGGCAATGCGCCACAATAGTTTCCCTTTGATTTAACATTTAGTCTAATATTTTCATTTTTACAGCATAGCTCATGAGGTTGGGGTGGGGCGGGAGCAAAATATACTGCAAGATCAGCAAGAATAAGGTTATACATAAAATGTCCAAAGCTATACATAAAAAACTTCAAACAAAGCATTTAATTAGGGTCTTCCGTCTCCAGCGGAAGACCCTTCTATTATTCTATTGTTTCTTTTTCATTTTTATTATTATTCTTGCCTTTTCTTCTTACAATTTTTGTGCAGAAGATTTCTCAGAGATGGCTGGACCGATTTACTTGAAATTTTCAGAGAAGATGTATATCTTTATCAAAACCTTATACGTTTTTTTTCATTTTTTGGAAATTCACTTCCGGTCAGAAGTTATCGCCCTTTGATCGAAATTTAGAGGACCTCCTTGTCTGTGATGGAACTCAAAAACGGCTCAAGCTAGAAAGCTGAAATTTTCAGGGATGATAGAGGACATGTTCCCATGTTGCACCTGGGTCAGGATATTTTCCGGAAGTGCCTAGTATGGAAGCTCGGTAGGGGTCAAAATTTAGGACACGAATCATGACTGATTTTTAAAGACATTTTGCATCATATCTTATAAAGTATAATTATTTTGTTAAAATATACTGAACAAAATTAGTGCAGAATGACAAGATCTTTAAACTGATATCAAGAAAAAAGTGCTGACTCATCACATTAGGGGCCAAAAAGGGCTAAAAGTCTTTTTTCGATAACTCCTTAACAGTCAATATTTTGTTATACATTATTGAAGCAAAAATGTTTATCTCAACAATCTACCACTGTATATTATAATTTTAAGGTCGTATAATATATAATTAGGGGCCAAAAGGGGCCAGAACGCTTAATCTTTGACGCTTTATATCTCGAAAGTGTGAAATATTTTGACAAGTAATATTGAAGAAAAGATATTCAAAATCATGTTCTGAACAATATGCAACCTTTCATTTTTCGCTAAACGTCCCCATTAGGGAGTTGAAGGGTTGGCCCCTTAATATTTCTTTTGCTAATAGCTCAAAAACTAAAAGGAATTTCTGAACAGTTGTTGAACACAAAATGTTCAAAATCTTCAGAGCTTTTAAATGAGATCCTGAAAAGGGGGCTGGGCACTCAAATAAGGGGCCAAGAGGGGCTAAAAGTCTTCAATCGATAACTCTTTACCTTTTCATATTTTGTAATACATTACTGAAGCAAAGATGTTTATCTCAACCATCTACAACTATATATTATGATTTTTATGTCGTATGTTACATATTAGGGGCCACAAGGGGCCAGAATGCTAAATCTTTGACGCTTTATATCTCGAAAGGGAGAAATATTTTTACAAGATATATTGAACAAAAGATGTTCAAAACAAGCTAATTCAGAGAATTCGTGTCCCCCGCTTAGGGAAAAAGTCGGCTCCCCCTGACTGAATTTGTAGAATTATTAAATGTATACATGTATACTGAAGCAAATAAAATACATGTATGTCAATATGCATATAAAGATTTTATTGCTTATTCTTCATTATGTGTATAGAAGATTTCTTTATATGGAATTTTTATCACACTGTAATGATGATTTTATAACCTCATAAATTTTTCATTTCACATGCTGAATACTATCATTTAGTTAAAAAAAATTATTAAAAAAAAAAAAAAACAAAGGATCGACCGAGATTCGATCCCGGGACCTCTCACACTGGATGCGAGAGACATAACCACTAGACCACGGAATCGCTTTACTCGGTGTGAAGTATATGCAGAAGTGAAGTCACATACATGTATATATTCATGTTTTCATGTTCGGTATTCTCAAAATTTTACACAATCCATGGTGTTTGATTTATTTAGCCTTTATTAAACAGTTCTAATAGATGTAATAAGAACATAAAGTCCGCCGAGAACCTGTTTTATACGCAATAACTCTCCTCATGCCCCTGCGCTAAAAATAGCGACATGTAATACTATAAATACTAATAAAACAAACGGGGCGGGGCACTTTGAGAGGGGCGAGAGACGTCCTAGGGAGTTTTGATATAAAATTACATTGCATAAGCTCAAAATCTTCTTGAAATATCGCCCGGAAATAATAGTATTTCACACAGACAGAATGTATAAATTTACGACCTTGAACTTTGACCTTTTGACCTCAAAATCAATAGGGGTCTTCATTAGGCCACAGGGAGTTGCTATATAAAATTTCATTGCAATAGCTCAAATGGTTCTAGAGATATCGTGTGGAAACGAAAGTGTTTTAACAGACAGAATTTGCTTATTTATGACCTTGACCTTTGACCTTTTGACCTCAAAATCAATAGGGGTCTTCTTTAGTCCACAGGGAGTTGCTATGCTAAATTTCATTGCAAAAGCTCAAAGGGTTCTCGAGATATCGTGTGGAAACGAAAGCGTTACAGACAGACAGAAAGACGGACGGACGGACGGACGGACGGACAGACGGACGGACGGACGGACGGACAAACCCAAATTAATATCCCCCACTTTTCAAGCGGGGGACAATTATGTTTTTTACAATATGAAACCTTTCATTGTTCGCTAAACGTCCCCATTAGGGAGTTCAAGGGTTGGCCCCTAAATATTTCTTTTGCAAATAACTCGAAAACGAAAAAGAATCTCTAAATTGTTGTTGAACAAAAAGTGTTCAAAATCCTAAGAGCTTCAAAATAAAATCCAGAAAAAGGGGCTGGACACTAAAATTACGGGCCAAATTGGGCTAAAAGTCTTTTTTCGATAACTCTTTAACAGTCAATAATTTGTTATACATTACTGAAGCAAAAATGTTTATCTCAATCTACAACCGTATATTATGGTTTTTATGTTCTACATTGCGTAATTAGGGGCCACAAGGGGTCAGAATGCTAAATTTTTAACGCTTTATACCGCAAAAGTGAGAAATATTTTGATAAGAAATACTGAACAAAAGATGTTCAAAATAATGTTCTGAACAATATGCAACCTTTCATTTTTCGCTTAACGTCCCCATTAGGGAGTTGAAGGGTTGACCCCTAAATATTTCTTTTGCGTATAACTCGAAAACGAAAAAGAATCTCTGAAGAGTTGTTGAACAAAAAGTGCTCAAAATCTTAAGAGCTTTAAGATGAAATCCAGAAAAAGGGGCTGGACACTCAAATTAGGGGCCAAGAGGGGCTAAAAGTCTTTTTTTGATAAGTCTTTGAAAGACAAAATTTTGCTAAACAATACTGAAGCAAAAATGTTTATCTCAACAATCTACCACTGTATATTATAATTTTAAGGTCGTATAATATATAATTAGGGGCCAAAAGGGGCCAGAACGCTAAATCTTTGACGCTTTATATCTCGAAAGTGTGAAATATTTTGACAAGTAATATTGAAGAAAAGATATTCAAAATCATGTTCTGAA